TACAACTAATATCCTTAGTATTGTTTGGATAATTTATTTTTAGTAATTAATTATTTCCAAATTAAAATGTACTTATTAACTAAAAATAGACTTTTAGAAGCTACTTTAAAAAAAAATCTATGTATAAACTAATTTTATTTATGTGCTTACATTCTTTTATGATAAAAAGATGAGGAAGTATTTTTCAAATAAAATCTTTAAATTAAATTAAGACTGTATTATCCTTTTATTAAGTTTTAAAATTTAAAATAAAACTTAGGTTAATTTAGGTTAAGATAATATAAGTTTATGCAAAAGATTTGATCAAGTTTAAGTTAAATTAAAGTTATTTCAAATTAATTCAGTATAAGATTTAGTTAAGTTGATTTGGAATAAAGTTTAGTCAAATTAATTTAAACTTAAATTAAACTAAGTCTTGTTAGATTTAAATTAGGTTAATTCAGGTATAGTCAAATTGACTCCAAATCATATATCAAAAGTATAAATGAATTAAGCGAAAGTCAAATAAACCATAAACAAAATGAGTTGAACCCCAACCTCACAACTAAGTTGTGAATAATAAAAGAATATGTAAAGATCCATTTGTAATTAATGCATGAATCGATTTACAATTTATAATATTTTAAAAACTTATATAATTATAAAAAATATTTAAGAATTAATGGAAGTTTTATTTTAATTAAAGTATCTTCACCCTAATCCCAACTTATTCATCTTCAACTTATTTATTTAATAAATAAAACAAAAAACTTTTTTATAAGTAAATTAGGTTGATTTGTAAGTCATGAATCAAATTAACATTTCCAATAAATATATATAATCCTAAAAATAATGTTATTACATTCCAAAATTCAATTACGAAGAAGAAAAAAAATGTGACTCTCAATTATGTTGTATAAAATTCCTGTACACCAAAATCTTTATATTTACCCAAAACATATCTATTTACTAAACAATGTTTTTCAATAATTGGGAAATTTTCTGCATTTTTGATAATATCTGCATTATCTGAATATAGACAAAAAAAAAAAAAAAAGTTGTATACATTGTATGTGGAGGTTAAGGAAGAAATATTGTATAGAGTTGAAACTACCAACTGACCGGAACAGACACTGCATCTGCATTTGAAAAGGAAATGCAATCACATTTCTTTCATTTAATCAAATCAATCGATATAATATAATTATACTCTGAAAATATTTTAACATAATTTACGTAATGTTATGTATTTTTTATAATTTTTTTATAAAATATCCTATTATATTTTATTTTAATAATAATTAATTTTTTATTTTATTTTATAATCATAAAATAAAAGTGGATATATACTAGTAGTATAGTTAAAGTGGATCAGTCATTAACTACTAGACAATATAAATATATTTTTTTAAAATAAATAACTGAAATTTGATGAATATTCAGTACTTTTATTTTAAAATTGAAGATAAGGAACTATTTTTTTTTTTATTTCAAAATTCTTATGTTAGTTTACTAAGACTTTTTTTAATCTTTTTTAATGTTATTGACATAAGTATATAATTACTTTTTTTTTCTAAATTATACCTTTTAATGTTTAAATACATTTTTTTTTTACGAAAACGAAATTCTAATCATGTTTTCGTTAATTTTGCAGGTTGTCTCTGGTTGATATTTTTTTTAAAGAACGAATTCTTAATAACATTTTTTCCTAGTTTTCTAAATTTGCATGGTTACATTAAATTTCTTTTCAAATACTCTTACCTACAATCACGTTATTATTTTATTTTATTTTTCTAGCTTATTACATACAAAAATTTATTACAAATTATTTTAACCAAATAAATATATATAATTATCAAAATTAATTTTATAAAAAAACAATCATAATTACAATATTTTATATTTTATTAGGATAATTTTTCTATTACCATGATTACCATTTATTTAAATTATCTTATTTATCATTATCTTCAACTTTTTTATTCTCAATTAATTTATAAATATTAAAATGAATATATGTTTAAATTTATATTTACATGAATTTACAAAAAAATATAATTTTTTTAAAAAATGTTACTAATAAGCCGTTCCTAAAAAATATAATTTTAGTATCAAAGAACCTATAAAATTATTTAAAAAAAATGATGAAATTAGTCTTTCCAAAGAAAATTATCCATCTAGTTTACATAAAAATTTCCTAATAGTCTGTTTACGTTAACAAAATTAAAAATATCTATAAGAAAGAAAAAACTGGTTTACTAATACTTAGACCTTTGTTTTGAACAACTTAAAAAAAATCTTATAAATAAACATCTTAACACAATAAAACTAACATTCAAATATTTTAGGTAAGAAACTAAAAAATAGAATATTAGAATTAATAGGTGTTTTAAAATAATGAAATCGATTATTAGAAATATAAAATAATTCGGTAATATAAGTAGAATTTTATAAATACATCTCATCATTTAAAACATTCACAATCTCTTCAAAACTCATTTTCTGAGTTCTATCTCCTTTTTCTCTAAGATTTCTAATCTTGAGTTATCTCTTTGATAATCAAGGTACCTAGACCATCACTGCAGTAAATTCTTTCCCTTCATCTGATTAGTTTTTTATATAGAGTAAGTCAATTTTAACTTTTTTTTTCTCTTTTGATTTTCAGTTTAAGACACATGCAAATAGACTGAACGCATGTGTCACCCAATCTATTTTCCTAGTTCTTTATCGATCAATGGTTTTAAGGACATATACCTTGATCATAATTCTATGATCTGTAGGTACAAATATATAGAGTGGTATGAGCTGAGGCAGAGATAATCGTTTTTAAATGTGTATAAACTTTCTTAGAAGGTAAGGAAAGCTAACTATTATATTTTATTTTTTATCTAGAGATTTTGAGTTCGTATTTATGGTTGAAATGTAATGAATTTGATGTTTAATTTGTTGATAACATGTATTGGTTTTGGTCAATGAAAGAATTATATATGGGAATTTGGTAATTATATGATGATATGCTTGTTGATTGATGCTTGTCCTTGAGGAATGTTGGTAATCAATGATTGTGTTTTGTTTATACTTGTTTGGGTTACTTGAGGTTGTTGTTTTGTGGTATAATTTAGTGGAAAGATGATGTTGTTTTGAGATTAGTGAATAGGTAGGGTTTGGGGTTGGTTTTGGATCAAAAAAGGGACTGTGATAAGAGAAATTTTGAAATAATGGTTGAATGGGAAAAACTGAGGCCTAAGGTCTGTTCTTAGGTGACTTAAGATTTGTGTAGTCTTTTAGTTAAAAAAAATCTCATGTGAAATATATAGAATCTAGTATATGAGTTTTTATAGTTTTGATTTGTCAACAAAACAATGTATGGATTGGAGGAAGGGTATTATGTGCACAACTGTTGTTTGGTGTTTATTTGGAGGCCGTCTAGGACTTAGTTAACTACTTAAAGCATTAGAGTTCTGGTTTAAAACATGAGAAATGAAATACATGAGTTTAAAGTTGTAGGAACTTTGATTACTAACTAAATCAAAAAATTAGCATCTAATAAAGTTATAAACTTATTTTTGAATCATTCACGATGTCTAGGTGTTGGGAATCCAAGTGTGATTCAAAGTCTCATATTGGATAAAAATGAGAAAATAGAACACTATATAAAGATGAAAGACTCATTAACCCATTGTCTTAAGGTTTTGAATAAAAAGTAGTGTCAATCCCTTATATGATTAAACTCATATTTCATTGATACTGTGTCTCCCCAATGAATCCCTCCTTATTAGAGCCAACAATGCAGAATCTCTTTTCAACATAATCAATTTTGTTGGATTTTGCAGCATCTTTTAATTATAAAAGAAATTCATAATAAAGGAATTCCATGAGACATATTTTTCTTGGACGTTAACTTTTTTAAAAAGAAAACAAATAATGTTAATAAAAGATTTTAAATATTGTAAATTTATATTTTATTTAATTAAATAAATTTCATTTTTTATTTTATTGTTATAATATATATAAATAAATAAACAGAAGCATAGAGCCCACAAGTCTTGTGAGATGTAACATCAATGCTTTTTTTGAGTTTTTCTTTCTTTTTTTTTTCCTTTGTTTAAATATGAAAAGGACACAAGAGTTTGGAGTTGAAAGCATTGTATCTTTTAAGAATGATGATACCATGTTATCTTTTGAAGAATGATTGATATACTTTTTTATACACCTATTATCAGACACAAAGAGAAAAAAATCTGATGTGACTATAAAAAGTAAAGATAAAAATAAGGTTTTAATGAAATAGAATAAAAAAATATTAAAGAGGTAGAAATGTTAATTATCAAACTCTTTAAAGTTGGTTATAATACAAACAAGAAATTCAAAAACTTAAGGTGAGTACCTATAGATATAAATGTATAACATAGGAACTTGTATATAATATTAGAGGTGTTTATTAGGATCGATCATGTAATAAAATTTGATTTAATCCAATTTAATTAAATTGATTTGAACTTGGGATAAAATGTGAGTTAATTTCAATTAATTCATTCTTTTATCAATTGGGTCTTAATTTAACACTAAAAAAATTATTTAATAACAATCAATTTTAAAGATTAAAATAATTAGTTACTATATTAATTAAATTATATGTCATGTTTATAAACTAAAAATTATTAATACTAAAATAATTTCTATTATAAATACAAAATTATAACTAATACATGAATTAGAGTGTAAATTGATTTTTAACATTAACTACTAAAATTTCAATTACTTACTAATATTGATTCTAAATCATAAATTAATTATAATTTTTTATTCATAATATAGATTATTTTAAATATTAATAATTTTATTAATTTATAAAATAATATAATAATTTATTATTTTTTGCTTAATGATTTTTTTATAATAATTTACTCACAATTAAAATACAATTAAATTAAACTTATTTTAAAAATAAAATCCAATATAGACAAATAAGTCACTCATATTAATTCTTAATTCCAATAATTAATGTCAAGTAATCCATCTATCAAATGCTTGAATATAAATTTTAAAATATTAAATTTGATTAAGCTAGATCCACCTAGGAATAGAACAACCAAGCAACTACTTTTTGCTAGTATTTCTTACTAATTAAAATGCAGGAAAGGAAGAAGATACTGAAAATTTTAAGAGTTCAAAAGACTCCATAAAGCCTTCACGATACATTGTTTCCCAATGCAGCTTCATATTCAGGCAACTTTGGATCATTCTAAAACCTTTTCACAAAGCTTCATGCTTATTATTCTCATCATGGAATGGAATTTGGTGTTAGTTTTTCATGTGCCACCAAGTTGCAAACTTCAGTTGCCATTTTCATTTCGTACACCATTCACAGCTTGCTACAGTTTTCAACAAAAGAGTCTTTCAATTTCATCTTCCAATGTAAAAATGCATGCTGATGAAATGAGCAAGTGAAACACAATTTATAGGCCAAATAAGGCCAAAATTCAATGCCCTTTTTGAAACTTCAAAACATAAAATAAAAAAGAAGAAAATTTTCATTTTGAGTAACAGTATCAGATATTTTTGAAGTTTCTCTAGTAATAATGGATTCCTAGTCATCACCTGAAAGCATGATAAGGTGTACTGCACGTCACTTGCAGATATTTGGTGGTGGAACACAATTCTCAATCTGCAAAAAGTAGGTACTGCCCATAATTACCATAAAGTGCAATTCCTATTTATATTAATTACTAAACTAATCATTTACAAAACATCACTTTTTCTCCACCAAAATAGTTACAAAAAGTTTTACAGAAAATTGTCTCTCAGTTCACCATAACTGCATAAAATTTCCTTAGCTATTTCATAATATTAAAATACAAAAGGACTCCACATCATGGACTGGTTTCTAGTTTAGGTGAGTATATAAGAATGGGCTAAAATAATGAAAAGTTTAGTTGATTAATTAATTGCAGATTAAGAAAACAGTAACTGCAAATAACACCTTGATGAGCCAACTGTCATGAGAAGAATACCATAGTCTTCCAAGTCCTTGCACAGCTTGGATGCTGTAGTTCCTAATCTCTCTTCAATTTCAACATATATCTGCACCATGGTATCAATCAAACATTAATTCTAATCACATCACAGATTATCAAATTTGTTTGAGAAACAACAATGCAATTGTACTGTTATCAGTGGTCTCAACTGAATACTCACCATATTGGTTTCCACAGAAGAGGTTTTCACTCTCAGTCCTTTAATTTCATTCAATCCATCTAAGACAAAAGGAAATCTTTTTGAGAAAACTAAGAAGTGCATTTTAAAGGGTGTGTTTAAAAAGATAAGGACAGTTAAAAGTTGAATTGCATTTACCAGCCAAAAGTTTAGCTTTCTTGTGATCACTTTCTAGCTTTTCAACATTTTCCTGTAAAGCAACTAGTGCAGCTGCACAAAGGATGCCAACTTGCCTCATTCCACCACCTAAGGTTTTTCTGAGCCTTCTAGCCTAAAATTGTATATATGTTCTGCTGGTATCAGCTTCTTTCAGAAAGGAGATATAATAATAGATACTGTTATATTCTCCCAGAATTTATATTACCTCGCTGATAAAGCTATTGGAACCAACAATAACAGATCCAACTGGAGCACCCAGGCCTTTTGACAGACATACCTAAAATTCATGTATTCAAAGATATGATTCACAACAAAGTTTGATTAGGGTTTAAAATTTGTTAAAATCAAGAGATTTCACTTATTTTTAAAGAGGGATAACCACAGTTATAAAACATATTCAAAAGCTGAGTAACTTTTCAATAAAGAAAAACAACATTTGCATAAATAACCTTCACAAGAGTTTTTCCTTCTCTTTTTTATTTGAAATTTCAAAATTTAATAACACATTATTCAACTCTTGAGAAGAAAAAAAGAACTTCCTATATCTTGAAGAATGTTCTTCTGATATGAATTGTTTCTGAAGTGAGAAACAGATTAAGATGTATATGTCCTTAATTATAATATATACCTATGGATACAATCTTATTTACTCCCTTTAAAAATAGAGTAGTCACTTCTGAATATCCTTTCCATGAATATTGTGCAAAAGAAGAAAAATGAGAAAAGAAAAACACACCGAAACTGAATCAGCTGCTTGAACAAGCCTACCCACAGGGACACCTAGTGCCTGAAAGTGCATGATAACACAAAAGGGTAAACAAAAAGGCATATGATGAGGCACAAAAGAACTGAAAGCAAGATTTGCAATAAAGTTACAGCAATAAGAAAATACAATTGACAATATCAAAGCACTCACTGGAAAAAGCAAGAACTCAGATTCATTTCTATCTGGAAATGCCAATGCCACATTTATGTAGTTATTTCTAGAGTTAATTTGAACCATACATGGTATAAAAGTAATCAATTTTTTGATGGAGAACTTTTTTGCTGACACATGTTGTTTACACAAACAGATGTATTCATAAAGCATATAGTAAAATCAAAATTTATCTTACTTTACCTTATTGGAGATCTAAGGCTGACAGATATTATTTACACATTTTTTAAGTATTCATCTAGCTAGGTGCATTTCAGGCACAAGTTTATCCTTGCAGTGATTTTACTCAGTTTTTGAACAAAATAAAAATCAATACTAAGCAGAAAATTTACTTACAACTGATGCATTAAATATTCGGGCTCCATCAATGTGAAGCTTCAATCCATGCTTTTTAGCAACCTCTCCTACTCTGTCTGTATATTCAACTGAAAGACATCTACCTCCACAGCTGCATTCAAGAAAACATACCAACCACTGATACTGCTTATGTCCTTAAGAGAAATCTAATAATGTAATCTTAATGTTGTGTATGTAGCTGATTTCACAAGGGACTTTGTTATTATTGTTGTAATATTGTACTATCTAGAAAAATTTGGACAGAATAATTGCTTACTTTCCGTGAGTATTTTCCAAGCAAATAAGCCTTGTGGTTGGATATACTAACTCTCCCTTTGGATCTCTGATTGCAGCCTCGATTAAATCAATGTCCATTGTTCCATCTTCATTGTTTTTAACTGTTCTTGGATGCACCCCTCCAAGGGTTGCAATGCCTCCATTCTCATAAATGTGTATGTGGGAATCATCTCCAAGAATAACTTCACTTCCTCTAATGTTACAATGCACAAGCACAGATATAAGGTTGGCCATGGTGCCTGATGGAACAAAAAGTGCAGCTTCCTTTCCCAATAACTTTGCCATCTCTGTCTCCAAGCGAAAACAGGAGGGGTCACGTCCAAGAACATCATCATCAACCTCAGCACTTGCCATAGCACCTCGCATTGCTTCAGTTGGTTTTGTCACTGTATCCGACCGAAGATCAACTATCTTAGCTACCATTTTCTCTGCCACCAAAACAAGCCACAAGGTACATGTTTTGAGCCATTGTTGCTTTCGTTACAAAAACAAAAACACAATCATACAGTGACCTTTTTTTGCAACCATTCTTGGATTCAAATTCCATAATTACTAGACATTTATGTTCCCTGTGGTGCACTGTATATCATCTTGAAATGGTCTATATGATTTTTATGCTGTATGTAACAAAAGGAGCATACCGATCAAAATACCATGACCGATAGTCTAAATATGAAGATCGATCAGTCACGGTTAAAATCAACTCATTGTCTAATTAATCTAAACATATGAGTAATTAGTTTTAAACATAATTAAAAATTCATAGAGAAAATTACAAATATAGTTTGGCTGTTGAAATTTTTACTAAATGTTTATTACAGCATTGATGCTTAACCGTCAATTAAGTTCGAATTGACTTTAATATTGAAATACCTTTAGCAGACACTTTCGAATTGGTTGGAGAACAGCTTAACCGAAGAGAAAATAACATTAGAACATGTGATTAGGAAATTATTTTAAGTGAATTTTCGACTCTACACATTGAATAAAGGGGCAAATATAGAGAATTTACATGCTCGAGCTCTTCACTGAATTTAAGTTAAACAAGAATTTCATAAAAAAAAATATTTTTCTCAACCAGGTTTCGTGCACAGATACGTTCAACAAGGTATCTGAATCAGAACTATCACCTGTAATAGGTCAGCTAAATTACTCTCAATTTAGTTCAGATGAAAAAATATGAGGACAGAAATAAATATACATATATATAGCTGCAAAGAACATGGGAGAAACAAGGAAAGTGGAACAGATTAAAGTGACAGAAATTTTGAAGGAAATTAATTACCTAGATTAGGTACTCCAACAAGATTGCAAGCAAACCAATTTAAGTGTGATCAAGGTAACGGCATCTATAGTACACACTTATTTCAAGAACTTTGTGTTGAAGTGCATGAGATGCTTCAAGATTTGAGGAGGGTGAAGAACAAATGAGTTTAATTATTACTAAGATATTACGAGGAAGGAAAAAGGAATCATACTGTCATTTTGCATATGCATAATCAAGTGTTTTTGTTTTTACTTGCTCTGAAAGTCTTTAAACATAATTTAAAATTGACTACTCTAATAAATTTTAATAAATTATTAACATTTGTATTTATTTTCTTAATAAAGTACATCATTATAATTTATAAAAGGGTATTGAATTGTCAATTCATATTATGAGCAGAGTGCAGTTTCAATGGATTCCTCCACCAATTATTGATTTGTTTTTATGCACTGTGTCGTCTATTCTGTCCCATTACAGCCACTAATAAAATTTGAAACGGTACACACAAATAATTTAGTTTTGTCTCTCTCCATCATATTGTGTATGACATTTCTTATAAAACTAATATCCTATTTGTTCAGTCTTATTGTATATTAGATAATTCAGTTTTGCAGTGTCAATAAAAGCTCCACTTGACATTAAATTTTATACGACAACATTAATATTTGAGACAAATACTTCTTTATAAAATTGAATGATAGATAATAATGATAATAATAATAATAATAATACAATCAGTCTTTCACACAGTCAGTCTTATATTTGTATTTATCATACAAATGAATAGAACACAGTCATGTTCCTGATGGGACAACCGAATGTGTTTGCTCCTAAAGCACCAAAAAGAGGACCTAATCTCTCTACAAACCTACCACACATTTTCTTTCTCTCAATGGCAAAATACCAAACGGAACATTACAAAACAAAAATACATTCTACTTATGGTCTCCTTCGGGTAACTTTTTGATGGGTGAGACAGAAATTTGATAAGGTGTAGAAAGCAATACCCATATCTCACCATCTCATTCTACTTATGGACTCCTTCTTTGCTATCTTGGCATCCTAACAAGATCGCACCACCAAAAGCCTAAAAAGGAATCATGTATGATTCCTTATTCTTATTTTGGTTTTGCAAATTAATGTTATTTAATTTAGTATATTGTTAATCTAACTAATTATGTGACATTCATGCATTCAATCCATTCTAAAAGGTAACATAACATATTTAACAAACTTATCTAAAATGAATATTTTCTAAATCACTTATTTAGAAGGAAATATAATTATTTATTGAAATAATTCGAAATCTGTCTATTTTAAAATAAATAGATTAGACAAAAAAAATCTATTCATTTTATTAAAAAATAATTCCAGAAAAGTATAAACAAACGAATTCAAACTGTTTATTAAAAAGCAAAATAAAAAACTTATCTATAAAATAAACAGATTGAACTTACGTAAAAAAAAATGCTTATTTCATTTAAAAAAATACTTTTGGAATAAACAAAAACCAAACTGACCCATTATACTAATTTTCCATTATAAAAATAAGTTGATGTTCAATTCAAATTAACCTATATCGTTTTTCCCGTTTTGCGTTTCAGCCCACGTGAAATCGAGAAAACCATTGACACAACAAGCGACTTAATCCTAATCCTTCATCGTATGGAACTAAACGAAATAGTACATTTTCCCAACATCATTACATTTTTGTCGTGTGAAAGTGTGTAACTATCTCATTCATGGACACGCTCAAATAAGGCATCTTGCATTGCATGAATGACCATTTTATTTACTTGGCAATAAAATGGAATAAATAAACGAGAAAAACAAGCGAGAGTGCGTGACTATATGTACCACTATGATATGTGAATAGTCAAAATTAATATAAAGACACCCCAAAGAAAAAAGTAAAAAGTAGCATAAGAAAGTTAACACAATTCCTGCTATATTAAAACAAGGAAAAAGTACTTCTCTTTTGACAAAATTTGAGCTAACACTAGTGAGGAACAAAAGCAAGAAATGAGCGAAAAAAGATAAAAATGGATGATGACGATGCGTGTTTTCTTCGTCTTCTTCGTCTTCAAGACAAGCTCCACTATCTATAATAAGATGCCATGATATAAAGCATCACTGCCGATGAAGTGGTGATTACCAATTCCTGCAGATACCATAACGGCTATCAACTTAGCAGAAACACACACTGAACAATAGGATATATACTAACTAGGATTAGCTTTCAGCAATAAAAAAAATGACATAGAACTAGTGACAAGAGAGGTGTGTATCTCATTTCCAGAGTAAATAAAAAACCAATGCATGCCATAAAATGTGTCATTCAAGAAACAGCTTCTTTGCTATGGCAGACAAGAAACCAGACTAGTCCCACCATCACCCGTAGACTAAGTTGCATGCTATGCGTAAATTTAGTTTAAATGACATTATTGGCCTTTCAAAGATGATAGCAACACAACCCTGGTCCTCCATTTTTAAATACATCAAATCAATAACATGATGAAATTGGTTTTCAAATTTCACATTTTACCATTAAATTGGTTTTTGAAGGAAAACCAATGTCACTAATTATCATCAAAGAAACAATCTCTGGGGAACCAATCTAATCTCACATACATCTTTAGAGGCCCAAAATGGATGTTAATAATATGGCTAATGAAAAATATAACATCATGGAGATTTTATATTGTAGAGGATAAACTGGCAGTTGAATTACAATCGAACACAATGAATTCATGAAATATTAGCTGATACCTTCAACTGTTCAAGGGAAAAAGTCCCTGACATTGCACCTGTGCTTCGTAAAATTTATTTTATTACACAATCTAAATTCATCTGCTATTTAAGAAACATGGCCACTAAACTAGCTATCATTATCCTAGTTCACAACAATTTGATACTTCAATCGCAACCCATCCCCTCACATCACATGTATTAAAAGACCATGAGATCATTTTTCTCTTATCTGCATTAGGCAAACAGGGAATAAAATGTATTTGGCAAGAAAATTCACATAAAGAATGTCCCAACGTTTTAAAGGCAAAAAACCTGCTCGGCACACATCATATTATTCATAAGGATAGAGGACAGTTTTATCTTAATATATTTCAAGCCATGAGGGGCCGTTCTCATTGATTTAAGTATACCTGATTGTTGTACAAAAGAGCAGGAATAAAACCACCTGCAAACTCAATTATGTTCAAAATAAAAGTATATGCCTGCATGAGAAGAACAAGAAAGTATTAATTTTCATTTGGAAAATTAAATAATTATGAGACATGCCCATGCCAATGTGTAAAGATGATAAGAAAAAAGAGAACTTGAGCCACATTCAACTAGGATAAATATTGAGTGACAAATAAATAGAATATCCCACTTCCATAAAAAAAACTACAATTACGTGGTAAAAACTAGTTAGGGCATCATTTGCCTGGTTCCGTACCAGTGGAAGTCAAACAGGGTACAAAATATAAATTCCGTAGTTTGGCTACCATGGTTTTCTTAATTCAAAAAAGAGATTCAATACAGATAAAAAAAGAACATAATTGATGCATCATACCATAATGAACAATTTAGTATCACATAAAGTAAAATAGAAAAAGAGGGAAAAAAGATGAATTGATCCCTCTCTCCCTTCTTTTCTTTTTCTTGTTACAGGAAAAAAAAAAACCTATATGTACATCAATTGAAAGGAAAGCCAAAAATTTGGGATATCAAAGTACTGATCCATGAGTCACACCAAAAGATCTAAGGAATCATCATACCAAAGATGAAATTGCTACACATCCAAAAACCAAAGCCAGTGCTCGGAGCAGTCTTTTCCCCATGCGCAATCCTTCTCCGGTGTCTTCACCCTCTTCCTGTAGCCAACAATAACATGAACTATACAATTCTACTAGTAATTCAATGCAGTGAAAAAACAGAAAATTTATATATTCCACAAATGTGCTGACATAAAAGAAGAGACTCACATTATATATGCGGGTTACAGGAGATTCAAAGGCTTTTAACTTCTCAAAAAGCCTATAAACAAAGGCAAAGGCTAAAAACTGCAAAGGTTTATATTCAGCACTGCGCTTGACAAGGATCCATGCTGTCTGCAGAAAGATGATAAATAACTCTGCTTAAATACTACATTTTAAGACATAAGTCACAAGATTGATATGGCTTAGTATTGATATTTTCCCAAAAAAATAAATAAATAACTATCTTTATCCAACTCACAAAAACAGCTGATATTGCCAAGTTTATGCGTGTGTCATTTTGACTTGATTTAGTAAACCTGAAATTACATACAAAATAACATCAAAAGTTACAAAGTAGCTATCAATAGAGTGATAGTGATAAGGGGGGAAACAATGATTTGAATAAAAAGTAAACCATGAGAAATAAATGCAATCCATCTATGCAAGCAAGAAAAATGAGATTTTCCATCCAAACTGTTATTTATAAAACATCTAAAAAAAACTAATCCAAATAGAGATGATTCCAATCCAAGCATCACTTTCTCATAATATAAGAGTATACGGATATCCTAATTAATACTATTTATTTGATGGTTTGATTGAGTGATTGCTTGATTCAGCTTAATTTAGAGAGAAATATCACTTGTTTTTGTCTTGTTTCTAAAAGAGCTATTGAAATAGATTACATTTACACAATTTGGCAAAACCTTATTTTTTTCTGGGAGGTGGGGAGAAGGTGGTAATTCATAATGGGGAGATGACTGTCATGCGGTAAAGCAATCTATAGAGATCCTGGCTGTGATTACTAGAAAGGAAACATGTCAACCTAGAGAAGTTAAATATTAAATCATCCATTAAAGTAAGAATTACCAGATATTTTAGTAAACTCATGGTAGCAACAACAATGTACAGCAAAAAAACTACATTGTTACTAATCATAAGCAGAAACACCAAACCTTGGCCCCCAAGGTAGAATTGGCTGCTTGTCAGCATACTTAATCTCCTTTGAAACCTGCATTTAGTTTAATACACAATTAAGATTTGGAGATGCAAACAAAAACAACAAATTTGAATCTAGGGCAGTGCTAGCATTACACTCTCTTACGCATCATTCCTCACACTTTATACTATTGGTTAAAATTTATTGGCGACTACAAAATTACACGTGAAGATAATTAAATATGGAGTGGAACCCATAAAATCGTTTGATTTCTAATCAATTTCAGCTAATAGTAAAGAATGTTTTCAAATGAGTGTATTGCTAGCATTTATCTTGGGTCAGATGCTTGGGAAAAACTAGGAAGAAGGCACAAAACATACTTAAATGAACATCTTTTTTTCATAAAAAGTATCTCCTAGGGAAATATTTGTGTTCTTCGGTATCTACTAACAAACCATTGTAAATAGACACAGAAGCATTAATAGCTGAAGAAAAAATCATGACTGCCGTATACTTTCTCAATATCCACTACCCACGCTAAGCATAAAAGACTTGCATGGCTGGAGCAAAACTCATTTTTGTGGTACACTATGAATAGAATTATCTAACTTCACCCTCCACAGCACAAAGAAAATAGTGAACAATATCGAGTTCAAGATAATATGGTATCATTTCCTCCAAATTCTACATGACCATAATTTATAGGCACTCTGGGTTCATTAGAGAAGAGAAAAACAGTAAAAAGAGATGTTCTACAAAATTATGGCTACTTCGTCAAAGGAAGTCCAGTGAATATTGAAAGCATCAAACACATCCAAAACTAAATTAACAAAAGTAGCTTGCACCTCAAACGGAATTTAAACAATAAGCACTTCCCTGTTATTATGCCTTCAAGTTATATGTGCGATTTTACAGTCCACAGAAAGAAAGATTCCCCTACATTTACCTTAAATGATCCAAAAGTTACACCTTTTTTCCGATTAGTCAACTGAGCCATCATGAGTTTGTCATATGCCTTTTCCAGCTGAATTATACATTCACAGCGCACAACATCCCACACATTAGTGCATTAAACTTTGAGAAAAAAAAAATCAAATATCAATACACATCACTAAGAACCTCAAAATAAAGGAATAATAGGCTCTTGTATCCAATAAGTGAGCTCTACTTTGGATGACAAGCAAGCATTATAAGTAAACTCAACACTATTATACATAATGCACAGCTCATACATCTTGTTAACTTCCGAATACGGATGCAGCAAATCAACTTCGACCATTTAAACTTGGGAAACTAGTTGCCATATCAGTAATGACAATGCAGACTGTTCCGTAATATTATATGGTTGGAATGCCATAGTTATGAAAACCATTTCACACACATAAAAAAAGGAAAAAATAAAAAAAAGTCGACCTACTCTGGAAGCAGTTGCTTCATCGCCCTTCATCTCAGCTTCCTTCTTTCTTTTTGCATATGCTGCCTTGACCATGTCAAATTTCTCAAGAGGGCTTACACCTAGCACCTACATGACATGACATGACAGAAACTAAGATACAATTCGAACAACTTCAAATTTCAAAGAGTAGATTTTACTCTTTACCTCATAAGGATTAAAGTCACCATCGGAATTAGAGCTCCCTGCCGCAGATGCAGCAGCACAGACAATCTTTCTATCACTCCATGTTGCTGTCTGGGGAAACCTGAAAATCGAAACCGAACTCCATTCTATTAACCCTAGAAATGATGTCGACGAAACTCGTCGTAAGCGAAAAATAAACGAATTCGAAGGAAAACTAAATTCGTTCTTTGATTCTTACAAATGGAAAGGAAAAGAGGGAGAAATGGATGACCTGAGAGAGGTTGAAACTTTGGGACGGAGATTGCTGTGGGAGAAACTCAATTTGGGGCAGTGCAGAATGTTTGAGATTCCTAGAGCCATTGATGCACTGTTATCTCTCTCACTTTATGTCTGAAATTTTAGTTTCATAGGGTTTTGCTTTATCTTTCACGCTTTCTTCTTTCAAAGTTTTCTTGTTGCATGCTACTTCTAAATTGTTTTTTTTTTCTTTTCATGATAATTAAAGTTAGTAAAGCAGTTATTTTTTTTATGAAATTATTAAAGTTAGAAATTTGATTCTAACACACCAAAAAAAAAAAATAAGAAAACTTGTAATATGAGACATTTGATTTTTTTTAGAATATTTATATGTTTGAATTGATAAATATCATCACTACTAATTGAGATGTTTATAACATAACAAAACATTTTATATGAAACTTAAAGCAAATATAAGCAAATTATAAAACAACAACCAAATTGTATAAGAAAGAAGGCACTGATTAAATAAAGTAAAGGGCAATACAAGTAAACAAATATTTAGATATAAGGAAAAAAATTAATAAACAAATTAAGAAGAAGAAAAACCTAATACAGAATATAATGAAAATTTGTCTGTTATATAAAGAAAAAACCAATTGATTTTATTTAAAAAAATATGATTCATAAAAATCATAAACGGAAAGCATTACGAAGAAGTCCGGCAGTTCGCGTTGCATAATGGATAAGGCGCTCGCCTCCGGAGCGGGAGAATGTGGGTTCGAATCCCACCGTGGACGGACTGGTAAAGAATCATGGATACTAAACTATTAATTGTATAAATGTTATATTCTGAATTTATCGTTTTAACAAAAAATATTACTCAAAGAAGGTGATTTTTTCATAAGAACTTTTTATTGTAATTCAATTAAAATATGTAAAAATAAGTTTATTTTTGTTGATAAAAGTTAATTAATAAGTAAATTTTATCAATTGTGGACTTTGAAACAAATATTACAGTTACTATTTTAATGTAGTAGCATTATGAGGAAAAGATGAAAGATTTCATTTGAATGCTCACCCTTTTTCAATCTATTTGAAAGATCATGATTCACATGTGTCTCTTTAAATGTAGAAATTCTATTGTTCTCTTCTTCTTTTTCCCCAAACAAATTTGGAGTTAACTTGTAGAGAGAATAAGGTAACTCATTTATCTTGTATATCAGCTTAATCTCTCAGCCTTTTCGTTTTGGTGTTGAGTTTATTTTCAGTTTATTTTTTATTTTTTTGTTTCACACCTATCCTATCGTAACAAAATAATGGTGCGGCAAACCTTGGCCAAAATAATTAATAAAAGAAAGAGCAAACTTGAAGGAGGAAATTTTCCCTGGGCTTCAAATAACAGTAAAAATTTCACAACGAAAAATGACAAACGTAAAATGTTCCAATTTGTATTATAAATGCCCAACTCTTATCCAGATTTTATTAACAAAATTATTCATTCATCTTTAGTTTTCCGATTTGAAACTCCAAAAAGGATTTTAAGTTTTTTTACACAAACACCAATTAAGCTGAAACCAAAGGTTGACTTGACATCTGTAAGCTGATAGACAAACTATATATCATGCATCCTAATAATGTCCTAGATTTTCATTGTCTCGTGATGTTTGCCCTGATTTGATGAATATATTGTACCAAAACTCCATTTCTTCACTTAGCTGACAAGAATCATGATTGTCCTCAGTTTCTCCAAAAGTATCTGAGGAGACTGCACCATAAAATCCAGTACCTACAGTAGGTGGATTGATTGGATTCTTCCTTGAGGGTAAACCGTAATTGTCAAGCATTACATTTCCATAGGCACTAGAAACTGCACCTGAACTTGATGAACTATTTGCTTGTGCCTCTTGCAAGATATGCGATGAAGCATTGCCATTTATATGCACTCCACTTTTTTGGATCCTCTTCTTCAAATGGGTATGCCAAAAATTCTTTATTTCGTTGTCTGTTCTTCCGGGTAAGCTTGTCGCTATAGCAGACCACCTAAGCATCAAGGGTGATCACCATCAAATTTTCACATTTTCTTACTTAACCAAATTCAGCCTATACGTGTTAATTACATCTCTTACATTAAATCATAATAATACTAGGAAATCATATTCATGGTGTTTCATGCACGTAGGGAAGACAATAGAAAGAACCAGCAGAAGACATTAGAATGAATACATGTTATTAGATGCCCACCTATTTCCAAGAATTTCATGCAGCTTTAGGATGGTATCTTCTTCTTCCTTGCTGAATTTCCCTCGTTTAATATCTGGCCTTAGGTAATTAATCCAACGAAGCCTGCAACTCTTGCCACACCTTAACAATCCTGATTAAACAACCATATCATATAATCATACATATGTTTGTTTAACCTTTACCGGTTTACAGAGAAAATGTTGCTAACTAGAAGAAGAACTTACCAGCTTGTTTAGGAAGGGCACGCCAGTTACCATGGCCATATCGTTGAATATGAGAAACCAATATATGATCTTCCTCTGCAGTCCAAGGTCCCTTCTTCATTCCCATTCTCTCACAGCAAGGAGTCTTCATAGTCACCGCTTGCTTCACAGCACAACACAATAATGTGTGTCCTTTTCCTCTGTACTATGGAGTAGTAATAACTTTGGTGACCGCTTAAGCTCTTTCAAGGTAGCTTCGGTTCCTTTATGATTACTATACCAGAGAAAATGAACATGTGGTCCAAATAAACAGCATGGCTTTCAAAACAAAAGTGCATGATAGTGATCACATGATCGATGACATCCCCTTTTGTGTGATAAAATTCCAAACTAAAGCACGCACGCACACAGAAACTGTTGAAATGAAATTAAAAAAATACACATAATCAGATTTGTAATGATGTCTAGAGAGATGTAGCACTAGAGAAACTGCTCCCATAATTTTATATGCATTGTGTGAGAAAGTAGCATTGGTTTGTAGAATCCAACTCCAAAGGAGTTTCCAGGTTGCTTCTCTTGTAAACTTAGGGCATCTGGTAAAGGCTAAAAGTAATGATTGTTTTGGGCAGATAGGTCAAAAGTAGTATGCGCGCGGCAGGAACATCATGCACTTCTTGATCATGTTTTCTTACTGTTTCTGCCGCCTCTTTCCATTGTCCCCGTGAAGTGCTAGTTACTATCTTCAATCTAATGCTTTTCTTTTTCCCCAATTTTCGATTTTCCCAGTCACGTATAACAACAAACACGTTAGCTACAGAATATATACATGAAAAAACAGTGCTCAAAATTTATCAAATTATTCAAATCTTCCAAATATTCTTAATTATTACACACATAAAACGTTGAACTCACTGTTCTGCGCACTACCATTGATGATCAAGAAGAAGATTACGGGCTTTGAATCCATGCAAATGCTCTTTCCCCTCTTCTTCGCGAGCAAAAAAAATAACGATTTCTTGAAAATTATTAAAAATTATAATATTTTAAATATCGTTCTTATTTCTCAATAAAAAAATATATCTATATATACTACTTATTTTTAATATTTCAATAATAAAATTGTCTTTGTGATGATATCTTTAGATTAATTAAATTAAAAAAAATATCCATAAACGAAAATGTTTCGGTCACCTTTAAGAAGTGTGTGTCGGCATGCCATCTCAAAGTAATTAAATGAAAGTGAAAAAAAAAATTATATTAATAATAATTATCATTATTATTGTCATAAGATATATAATAATATTAGTAATGCAAGATTTGCCAAAATAATCTATCTCCGTATCTCTTTGGGCTAATTAGCTTTAGCGTAGGTCAAATCATGATGATAAAGGTTGACTTTGTGTTAGGAAAAAGAAGCTCTTCTTTTCTTATATTATTAATTAATGTACTAAAACATTTATGCATATCTCAATTTCCAAAACATTGAACTTGGGCCATTATCGCAAAACTCAAACAATCACATCACATGTTGTCTCTTTGTTTTACATTTAATTTGAAATATTTTTAATACAGTGAAATTTGATTTATTGATAATGTTTGACAAAATATTTTACATTTAAATATGTAATCGAGAAAAATAATTTAAAAATAAAGCCAACAAACTCAAAGAAAGAGTTTGCATCTCAGTTAAATATAAGTATTACTTGATTCCTCGTAATGTAAGAAATTAGTTAATTATTTATTTTCGCTTAATGCAATCCATTAATACTAGTTACAAGTATTTGGTATAATAACTTGTTGGCTATTAGAAAAAATATATATATATTAAAAATTACATGAAATGTGTAAATGATTTATGTAATTTTTCTATTTCTATTCTTAACGGATATTTAAAGAATGTGCTTAGCTTTTTCTCGCTGCATTTTATTAAATATTGGTTAAAATATAAAGTTAAAACATGTTTATTTAATTTATAAATCAAGTATATATAAGAAAGTTACTAACACTCGATAAATTCAAATAGTTTTAACTTCAATTACTTTTAACATAGAAGGGCAAAATTGGGCTATTATTATGTTCATCATTTTCAAAAATTGAAAATTAGTCAATGTTCCTTTTCTCCATACATATAATGTTTCTACGTGACTTTTTTTTTTTATCTTTTACATTTTGTTCACTTGAATTAATTTGGAGAAGAGTAATTAAATAGATTTGAGAGAATTTAAAGATAATTTTTTTTGTTTATTTGAGTGGATTTTTGAAGTAAATAATTTCGAAATAAATTTTTTTAATCTGTCACATCAATCAAATCCTATACTAATTCTCACAAACTTTTTTTTCTAAATCCACTCTCACTTACTTTTAAAATCCACTCAAATAAACAACAACAAATTTACCTTCAAATCATCTCAAATTCATTCGATCACTCTCTCCAAATTTATTCAAGTAAACAAAGCCTTAAAGTGGTTTTCTTTTTTATATTGAGGAATTATTTTTTATTATACACTAGTAAAGATTGAAAGAAATCATTTAAAAAATGAAAAAAAAATATACTTGAGAAAAATATTATTTTCTCAGTTTTTTTCAAAAGCATGCAACATTTCTCCTTTTTTACTTTATCTTCTTCAGCTTAGTAAAAAAAGTGTATCATTAAAGATACTTTTTTCTTCTTGTCCAATGTATAATTAATCTATCAATAAAAGCGATGAATGAGAGATTTCAAGAGACTCTAGAATTGGATAAAAATAATCTCTTGAACAATATAGATGCTATGAAATGTTTTGTTAACTCAACACCCATATTAGAATAAGAAATCATTGTTATTAATAGGATAAAATAAGAGATTACATTAATTAATTACATCCTATTAGCATATAACTACATATAATACGATAAAATTACTATTATTTCACCAAATAAGTGCTTAGACTCTTCAAGGTGTGCAAATTGGATAAACAATGTGCCTTATAGCTTTATAACATATGCCAAAAGTTGGTTGACTTTCTACTTAAGATAAAGATATATAACAGTTGAGTTCACACTCAGTGTAGTTGCAAATCACTTTTTCTTAATTATTGCCTCTAAATCTCATGCTCAAAACCGCAACCATATCTTATTTCATCATCTTGGTCAACTTTTTATATTAGTGTTGGTCAACTTTAGCATCACATTTACTTGTGGAAGATTATCTATATTTTTCCAAAAAGAAACCATATTAATCATATTAAACCATTTAATATGGTAACGGATTAAATATTTTAGTAAGAACAAATTCTTCTGTTTTTTTTAATATATATATATATATTCAGAAAGAAAATTTTAAAATGCAGAGACTGGAATTCTTATATAAGATTAGAGATATAAAATATGTTCCTTTGTCAGTTTAGACACTTAATAATTGTAAAAGGCAAAGTCTGAAACTGAGTCCTTATCTCAAAAACTTACAATAAGAGTGAGGAATCAGTTTGTATTTGTATCTTGTGCATCTTCAGAATCACCACATTTTGCCTCAACAAGCTCTGCACGAACTGATGGCACGCTCTTCAACGGTTGTTCTTGTTTCCATGATTTTTCAAGTCGTTCCCTTTCCTCAAGTAATGCAATTTTTGTATGGCAAAAGCAGTTAAGGAGATACGAACTATCATTCTTGTAAATCTTTTGTATTTTGAATGGTTTTGATGACACATTTTAGGAGACACAAACATGAATCAAATGTCAAACCAAACAACACTAATTATAGCATCTTAGGAGCATACATCATAATGCATTGTGTATCAATCACTTTTAGTTAGTATCTGTAAGCATGTAGGAATGTGATGCTAGAATGAATTCACATGTTCATTAACTTCCATGTAAAATATAAAAGGATATTCTCTATTTCGTCCTCTGAGATTTGCACGGTCAATTTGATTTTGCAAATGGACTAGGCGAGTCGTGAAGCTCTACCAAGAACATAATCATGGAGTGAGGATTGTCAGAAAAACAATATTATGTGGCATATTTGCAAACAGTTAATTCAACAAATACTAAACCATGTTACATATAAGTAGAAGAAAGTGAACCACACAAGTAAAAGTTTGGCTGCATAGATAGTTACACATCTTAACATGATATTAGTAAAATAGAGTTAGATGAGTAGAAGATGAAACCGTAAGGTTGACTACTGCATTTTATGTAATGATATTCGATTGACAGAATACAGAAAATGCATCTAAATTAGTTATTGATCAGATATGTTGAAATCAGAAGAGCAACAAAGATAAATGTTGACATGGCAGAGTCAGGAAAGCATACATGTTTTGTTATATCCTCATGAAGACTTTCAGCCTTTTCTTGAACCTCAGCCTGCCAAACGCCAGTGAGGTAAAGAGAAAGTAGTTATAATTGTGGTTTGCAATATATTCAATGGAAAGAAACTATCATTTTCTAAGTTATGAAAAGATACATTAAACTGCACATACCAAAACTGATACAAGAATATGTAGTACAAATATGGCTCCAATTTTAAACTATTTTTCAGATAGTCATCCTTCGAAAGATAAAACATTTTCTCTTTATGTATCAAATAACTTACCACAGTTAACTTTGGGAGCAAGCTGGTTTTCACTTTTTGCTGCAAATCCTCACATTCTTGCTGTAAGAAAAATAACACAGTTGGTATCTAATGTAGGAGATGAGAGGAATGTCAAAATTACATAATTTCCAATGCAACTATGCATTGGAAACATTTGGAAAGATGGCTTTCCTATTACATGTTTATAGTTGATTACATGAAAATAATAACAGGCTCAGTGCAAGTCCTTTACCTCTGTGAAATCTTCATCAGAGAGCTCTGAAATGGCAATGGCCTTAGGCATTAAGGAAACTTGCAAGAGGGTTCTATTAGAGATTTCATCAAATTCAACACCTACAAGTTAAACAAGAGAAACTGTCAATCATGCGATAATTAAGACATAAGAGACTAAAGCTTCATGAACAAATATAAAGTAACATACAAAAAAGAAAGAATGGAAGTGGTGAACAAAAAGTATCAGATCTGTATGAAATTTGTTACCTAAAACTCTCACGAGATGGTAAGACTTTCTTTGCCTAGAATCATTGGAATCCATTCTAGCTCGGACGAAAGTTCCAACGATCTTTCCCAGAAAACTTTCAGGCTGTTTTGATAACTCCAGCAGCAAACTTCGTTTTAGATAAATGAGCTTTATATTATGGGCATTAATGGATGCAAAGTGGCTATGCTTGATAAAAAGGTCTCCCTTTTTCAATGGAGGTTTTCCAATTAAGGTTGACAAGTTGCTTCGAGTGCATGAATTCTTAGCATTGAGATGCTCGTCTAGTGAACTGTTACTGATTTGAACATTGTTTTCATCCTCAAATGAATCTTCCATTTTCTTGGCAATGTGAAACTCAAGCAGATAATATATATCCCTTTTTGAGACAACTTTCTTTCTAAATATAGGAAACAACCTTTCATCAGGGAGGAACTTCCCCTTGTATCTAGGGTGGTCAAGACTTTTCTCTTTGATGTATTCATGTATGAGAGAATTCACATTCCATTTGGTTAATGGTTCAGTTTCATGTTTCCCAATGGATGCAAGGAAGCTAATCAGAGGTTTTGATCTCCATCCCACAAACTCCTCTGAATTGCTCCTTTTCCGTTTGGCTGGCTTACTATCTTCATCACTACTCAATGACATCAAACCATTTCCTTCTTCACTTTCTTCTTCTTCATCTTCTTCTCCTTCCTCACTTTCTTCTTCTTCATCTTCTTCTTCTCCTTCCTCACTTTCTTCTTCATCTTCACTTTCTTCTTCTTCTTCTTCTACTTTACTAATTTTTTTATGATGCTTAAAACTTTTGAACTTTTTGTACTCAGCCCGTGCAGCAAAAGTAACATCAGCAGTAAATCCTTCTTTTACCTCATTTTGATCTTCTTCAACATTACTAACTTTTTTATGATGTAGCAAACTATCAAACTTTTTGTAGTCCGGGCTTGCAGCAAAAACAGCATCACTTCTCCACCCTTCTTTTAACCCATTTTGCACTTCTTTCTCTTCACCTTTACTATTTTTTTTATGATGTTGAAAATGTTTACACGTTCTGAAATCTGGCTGTGCAGCAAAAACGTCCGCACTAGTCAATCTTTCTTCTACCTTAATAATTTCCCAATATTCCTTGAATAGGCATTCGTATGTTTCCCTGTCATTCAAGGCTATTTTGTTCTGCAATGAGCAAAAAAAAAATCATTGTCAATAAGAACATAAATAGACAAGGGATAACCACTATGTGTATAATGACCCCAACTAGTACTACTAATTTCATTAAACCGGTATTACTGTTCTGACAAAAAGAAAACCAAATTTAGTTATAATAAGAGCAGCAAGAGTAACATGGAAACCAAATTTGCAAGATACTTTATAATCCACAGAACATTCGACTGTCAAACTAACTAGTTTCATGAATATGCTAGCTTTTTAACAGTAAGGTCATATGTCAAGCAAGTAAAATTATTAAAAACTATTCAAAATTTCATTATCACAACTTACCCCATTTGAGTCATGGTCTAAATTTTGTTCTACAATCTCCATTAGCTTCCAACAATCTATGCATAAGCCTTTTACCCCTCTAACAACAGTAAATTCTTCTGAAGCAGCAAAGCATTTTCTGCACACACCAATTGGACAGCCAAGACAATAAAACCTTGAAGGTTCATTGCATTGGAAGCAGACATGTCTACCTGAAAATATGAAGAAAAAACAAATCAATATATTTTTCAACTTTCACTTCCTAAAAGAGCATACCCACTAAAAATTTTCAAAATATCCAGTGAAAAGGAGAGAATGTAGAAGAATAAAATATATCCCCTCCTTGTATAATAGATAAAAAATACAGATTCCAATACATGCAAACCATATTACTATTGTATTTTTTATCACTATCTTGATCTTTGTTACAGAAGAACAATGCATCTGTTGCATGCAGAAGACAGCTAATACATTAACAATAAATCAAACAAACTTACCACAAAACCAAGATTCTACATTGTCAAAAAAAGCAGCATCCTTTCCAACACAAATAGGGTGATAAACTTTCCAACAATTCCTACAAAAACAATAAATAAACATGGTCGGTCTTTAACATCCATTGATTAACTAACACTAAACTAAGGAAACTTCCTGGGTAAAAAGAAACTAAAAATGAAAAGACTCACGGATGATCACAGATGATCATTTGCCCACCATCCTTGCATCCAAAACACCACTCTTCGGAGGGTTTTTCTTCTTTTTCTAAAAAAACTACTGTAGTTTCTTCCATGTCCTCAAGCATTTTGATTGTGGGTGCAGAGAATCTCAAAAAATAAGTTACAGTGACTAATGATGGTTATAGTTGATTGGGCTATTTATTTCTGGCGTGATCTTGAAAGAATATATCTTTATGGTAAAAGAAAATAGTTAATTATTACATGCGCAAGATATTAGGTTCAATAAGAGACCAATGCATGTCTTCGATTCCATTTGTACGAATTAATAGATAAAAATCTCCAATTGGTTTCTATTGCGGCGACAAAGATTTCAAAAAAATCTAATATTTTTTTTTGTTTTCATATTAATTTTATTTCTTTAATTTTAAATTTCCTATTTCATGTGGAACTTTATGTAAATTATTTTTTAAAATTACAATAAATAATTCATCTTATAATATAAGATTACTTTTAACTATTAAAAAAATATTAATAAAATTTGATTTATAAATATTAATAAAACAAAACAAACTAAACATACGAAAAAGAAATCACAATAATGAAAATTAAAAAAATAAAACAAGATTATTGGAAAAAAAATTATGAGATGTGAGATTAGTGCGTGAAATAAAAATCTTATAATATTTAATTAAGAGAGTGAAAAATAAAAAATATTACTTTTTAAAATATATTTCTAATTAATGATATATATATATATATATATATATATATATATATATATATATATATATATATATATATATATATATATATGTGTGTGTGTGTATGCGTGTGTATTAGGTCATTATATATATCTATATAAAGTATTTATAAGGATTTTCATTTGAGCATAACATTTATGGCCAAGAATGTATTTTTAACAGACATTATGACATGAGTATATTATGTATAAAATAAAATATTTTCTCCCTAAATATAAATATTTATATTTATAAATTTATTATTTTATTTATTAAAGTCATTGTAATAAATATGTTTTTTTATATCATTTAAAATATACAAATATATATTCTGTTTCAATTTTACAGGAATTTCAAATTAAAAAATATTGCATTATTTAAGATTCATGAAAGAAGATTATAATATAAAAACTTATAAACAACTTAACACATTTCCATTATTAATATTTCTTACAGCAATTGTGTATATATTTGAGTTATTTGCATGTACATATATATTAAAATATAAGTTTGGTAATAATTTTTAAAAAATTAATATAATAAATAAATAAATTTAAAATTATAATAGTATAAATAGTAAGTTATAACATCAATATTCATACAAATTAAAAATATTTACTTATTTATAATGAATACTTAAATACAAAAGGATGAGTGCTGGAAAAATATTTGAGATTGTAAAATTGTGAAGTTATAAGTTATTAGTTGTCTATTTGGATTAATGTATTTCTGTGTACTGTGTTTAGATAAGACATATAACATTATATTATAAAAAGAGTTTGCACAACTAGAAAAAAAGTATTTGGTATTCTTGTGGAAATTGATAAACAATAAATAAAATACAATTTAAGATTTTTTTTAACTATAACCAAAATGTGTTAAAAAATTAGTCAAATTTAATTTAGATATACTAATCAATTAAATACAGTTCTTTTTTATGTGGCTCTAATATCAATTATTATTGATTCAACAATGTGTTTAATTCTAAGACACCAAAACTCTTTGTTTATTATTCACTATAAAAAATAATTATAGTATTTTCTAAGAAATGGAATAAGTTATAAAAGTAAGTTATCTGCAAAGAACAAGTAAATTATAAATTTAAATAAAAAAAATCAAATTGGGTAACAACACGGTATAAAAAATAATGCATTCTCTTATATTAAAATGTTACATATAATCGATTAAATGAAAATATTTTATTCATCTTTATATATTTAAAAATTTTGATAAAAAAATAATTTTTATAATTTAAAAAAAATTATATAAAACATCCACCTATTATAAGTGAAGATCTACTGTTGAAATAGTAAGTACATGTGTGTCCAAAACTGGACAAAATGACAATTTTTTTTGTAAAAGTATGGTTGGTTGTTTCTTTATAACAGTTGAGAAAGTCTGAATTATCAAAAGTTTTTTCAAAACACATTGTAAAATAACAAAGAATGTTATAATTTTAATCTGAATTATTGTTATTTTTTCACAAATATTTGAAACACATAATAAAGTAACAAATAATGTCACAATTTTTATAGACATTAGTATAATTAAAAAAGTTTAGAAACTAATTAAACTGCTTCATTAGTCTTGTTTATTTTGTCTTTTAATTTAATTTGTACTGGAGAATAGTGTAAGTTGCAAAGCAAGAAAGATAATGGAGAAGAAAAGATGTTATTGAAGGAAAGTAAAATCCCATAGAGATATGGACAAAGGGGACCAAAACACAGTTTAAGAAACCATGTCTGCTACAAACCAAAACTTGGGCACCCAAAGTTGTCGGATGGTAGGTGTAACAAAAAACATAACATATTGTAAAATTATTCATTTTCTGACTCATACTCACAGTAAGGACCACTCCTATATTCTAACATAATTTGTACAAACTAGTTTTGAATTAGTTATTGTTAACAGTAAAATATATGACATTTAAATATGGTAAATTTTTCATGTTTACCTATCCTACACAACGTCGTTGCTGTTCATACTTGATGGTTTATAACTTCTATTAATTTAAAATAATGATATTTTGATAATATTATTTTGACAATATTTTAACATTATATATCTAGTATTATTATGTGATTGGTTCATGTAGGTGTTTATGATTATTATTATTGATTGTGGAGTAATTTTGAACCAATCACGTAATAACACTTAGATGATATTAAAATATTGTTAAAAAAATATTATCAAAGTATCATTATCCATTAATTTAGGAGTTTATACTCTGTCTTTATTTTCGTTTTGACACGAAGACGACTGTATTATCAACATCTTCCATTTTTTTTCTTTTTTGCTATACTTATATTTCATAACATAAAAATTGACTTTTAAGGTATGTAGCATATCATCTATTGATGATGATCATTTGTGTATTTGTATATATTAATGAAAGGTTATTGGATTTTCTTATATTATTTATACCATCTATCTCAAATTTGTTGAAGACTTATATAAACTTTTAGAAATCACTTGTTCATTTGTAATAAATGTTTGTTATGAACTCACACTTATATATTACTTCAATAGTGATTGATATGCACTAAAATAATTAGTTTTATGTCATTTATTTAGATTAAACTTTAATCGTGGTGGATATGCACTGGTGTAAAATAGTAAAATAGTAAAATAGTAAAATAGTTAGCTTTATGTCAATTATTTAAATTCAAGACTCAACGTAGAAGTAAGTGACATAAAAAAGAACATATCTTTTGACATTGTGACATAAAATAACTTTACATTAATCCATATTATATAGTAAAAATGAATGAAAAAAAAATTATTTGGATGAATAAGATATTGTTTAAAGATGGAAATCTTTCTTACATTAAAATAGTGCGAAATGACAACTCAATGTAGGAAATAATAACCATTGTAAAGTATAATAAACACAACGACTTTCGTAATTAAATAGAACTAGACTCCATGTATTTTGTTCAATTTTCCATAAATATAATTGAAAATATTCTTAATAATTATATATGAAAATCATACTAAATTATAATATAATACATAGGTAATTATGTTTTAATATTATTTTTAAGGTGATAAATAAAAATATAAATAATTTGTTTTTTTATCTTATTTCATTGTATCTATATAACTTTCTTCTTTGATTTCCCTATGTAAGTTTAAAGAGTTTTTCTTCCTCTCCCTCCTTTCATGTTTTAGTCAAGAGCAAACTTAGGTCACACAATGAAAACTTTGTTTAGGGTAAAAATGTTTTTTTTTCTCAAATTTTAAGTCCTCTTTTTTACTTGCATGTTACGCTATTTAAGTCAAGGATTATATTATTTTTGTCTTGAAACACATAACCGAGTTTTGAATAAGTCTATTTGAATTAACATCTAATTAATAATCAAAATCAAATTCTCAACAACTTAATGTAATGCACAATAAATTCGTCAACTTTTATGATATTTTCCATACTTAATACGTAATAACATATTCAAAGGATAATTATACTTTAACAATATTTTAACATCATCTATGTTGGTGCTTATAATTATTATTATTGATTGTGGAGTAATTTTGGACCAATCAAAGAATGACACCTAAATGATGTTAAAATGTTGTTAAAGTATCATTATCTATGTTGAAATTATATGAGTTTACTATCTAGATATTTATTATTCACATAATCTGTATCTCATTGTCAAAACTTAGATTAAGTAAATAATCATCACTTTTAATATAATTTTCTCCTAATATCATTTTTCTATCTTTCAATTATTTTCTGTAATTCAAAATGTTATTTATATTGGGTCATCACATAACAATTGTTTATTTCTCATGTATATGTTCAATAAAGTCATACTAAAAGTAGAATGGGACAAAATAATACTAATATGGTTCAAAATAATAAATATACTTAAAATGTATAAAATTATTGTTATTAATTAAAATTAAAGCTTAAATTGATGATTTTATTTATGGTCTCAAATATATCTCACTAGTGCAGAATTGGCCTTTAACGTTACCCAATAGACGTCCGTCCACGAAAACATCAACGTAAATAATTGATGAAACAACACTTCCATTCCTCCGACTCTCTCAGATGCCAGTTGGGCGGGGGGGAGGGGGGTCTCGAACGAACTGTATCCACTCCTCCTCTGTGAAGTGAGGTATACTGTGGGACAGGGATGATTTATGTTGCATCTTTGTCTCACAAAGACATATAGTCGTGTCACCTTGTTCTTGAACTCCCTACATACCTTATCGCTATATGCGATAACACTTTCTTTCTTAATTTGTATTGTGTGTGAATATCATCTAATGGTAACTGTTTTTTAAAACAAAAAAAATGTGATTGATAAGAAAAGCATGAAAGAATATAAGCTATATCATAAGATTTTAAGTAAACATTACCTCAATATTTGCCATAATGAGGTACGTATCGACCTCTAGGACTACATCCCAAAGATAGCTGACATGAAGGATAATGACATGGCTTTTGCTAAACTTAACCTAGATAACTCACTAAAACATATCTCAACATTTGCCA